GAAACGTTAGGAAACAAAACTTCAAGAACACTGCCACACAGCCCGGAAGACCCACACCAGCCAATGTCCTGCAAGTTCCATAATTTACAAACTACAAATCTTGGAATGAAATTTCTAATCTGTGGTTTCTTCTAATCTTTTCAAAACTGGAATCTGAGGAACAGATAAGGCCTACCTGGTTTAGATGCTTGATAACTTTCTGCATTTGAGCTTGTAAAAGGCTATTCTCCTTCGTCAGATGTCTACAATCTTCTGCCATCTTGTTGAGCAAATACTTATCCTCATCAGCTGAAAGCTCATTTTCCTTGAGGATCTGCCTTAATTTTTCGGCCTCCTGACTAAGCATAAATCATTTTAAATATTAGCTGACATGGATTATTCAAAAGCAGTTTTTATTTCTATACTAGCACTATCTCTCCCGATATTATTAATATACTATGCTGTACTATAGATGATTATGAAGAAACACTTAGCCATCCAGTGTGAACAAGAGATATGGAATAGCTCTGAAAAGATTAAAAGATGGATACTCTGAATGGCCCTACCTAAGTTCCTTAGCAGTAGACTGTTGTGAAGATTGGGAGCTTGTCAATAATTTCTCTTCTAAGTGGTAGAGCAATGCCTGCAGTTGTGTGCACTCTGATCTGCGTTCTGAAAGGTTTTTTTCCATTTCTTGGTGTTGCCAAATCTGCTGCTGACACTGAATAAAACATACAATAAAAATGAATGCTAAATGTTCCCTAGCCCCAAGCTTTGCTGCTGTTGTGGTAAGTATCATTAAGGGCTTTTCTAGTGAGAGTATAGAATGATCCATTTCTAGCATAAGAAATGTACACTTATTATCTGTTGCTTATATGGAGTTCATATAACTCTTCCAGGCTGCCCATCTGTTATCAGATATTGCATTTTTCATAACTCTAGATCTGTGTATCTTGTTTCTTGTGTATAAACTGGCCTTCGCCAGATTTTAATTCCAGTCTTACTATAATAATTAGAAATTAACTTAATGTAGAAGCACATCTCCATTTGCCCTAAAAGTGGGCTTGGATGAACCTTGGGATGCAATGGAGAATTTACATCTCAAGCTACATCTGTAGCACATTCTAAAGGCTAGTGCCTATCACAAAGCTGCACAGTCTAAAGCAGTGTTTTTCAAATATGAAGAGGTATGGACTTCAACTCTCAGAATTTCCCAGCCAGCATGCTAACTGGGGAATTCTGGGAGTTGAAATCCACACATCTTCAAGTTGCCAAGTTTGAAAAACACTGGTCTAAAGCATCAGACCTCTAAAGGCCTGAGCGTGCAGCCCTTAAAGACCATCCAAAATGCACCATTTAAAGCAACATTAAAAAAAAAAAAAAGATCAGTAAATGAAAATTCGTTTTTGGCCTGGCCTCAGATGTTTCTTAGAATGTCCCCACCCCCATGATAGCAAAATATAAGTGCAGCCCCAAGCTTGAAAATAGGGCACATTCTTGATTTATGAAGACCCAGTGACATTCCATTGTGAGTGGCACATATCTGCTTCCTATATGTGTGCAATAATGGGAGCGCAAAAAAACTAAAAGGGGCCATCCCTTCTCCTGTCTGTTACTATGAGCACCAGTGCATTAACAAGTATGGTGATTTTTTTAAAAAAGGCAAAGCATGTGACTAGCCTCATCTTCCATGCTGCATTCACATTTCAGTAATCTTTATTTGAATTTTATTTTAATATTCTTGTTGGCTAATGTTTCCTTCTGGTAGAAAATTAACTGTACCCTCCCCATTGTGGACTTGTTAGCATGCCAGTATTTGCAATTTTAGAAAAAGCAAAAAGAGTTTCATGACTGCAATAGGGACTGCTGAGGTTAGAATACTCCAATAGTGGAACTGGATCAAGGAGGATGGAAGCATGCCTTCATTGCCCACTCAGTTCATACATGGTGATCAGCCAAAAGGGAATTAGTTAGGTTAGGACCTGGCAAATTCAGTGAATGCAGCTACTATAGTTTGGACAGCATGATTCGTGACTTAATGTATTATGTGGTTTAAGCAAATCATGCCTTAGGATCTGGCGTGAACCAGGTCACAATAAGGCTTCAATTTTTTCTGTCCATAATTCCCTGGAAGCAATGTTCGTTTTAATACTAGAGCAAGCTCTGAATAATATTAATTTGCATTGGAGCAGGCATGAACATGAGTTTAATGCTCAAGGCTTCCCATCAAAACTATGGAGGCTGTTGTTTCGTAGCAAGATTGAAGGCTTAATTGACAGAGATCATTGGGCATTTCACAGAACCAAAGTTCCAAAAATCAATTTGCAGGAACTAAGAAAGTATAAAATAGATTCAATCTTCTTCAAATAATCCAAGTCACAAGTTTTTACTTTATGTATGAGTAGGTCTATAGAATGAAGAAAGTTTTCAGAACTATTTATGTTTTAAAAGTTTGTGCTTAAGAAAACGGAATTATATTCCTCTTCAGGAATGTAATCTTATTCAGATGAGCAGAAACAGGTTAAAGACACACAGTTTAGGTAAATTATAGTTTAGGTAATAAATACATACTATTTGCACATTTAAGAAAGAATTGTCTATTTATCACAAGTCTCTCATTTTAAAATTCAAATTAGTTTAACCCTGTGTGCCTCTAACATAGCAATAACTCTCTTACAAATGCATTTTTTGTAAATGTATTACTTAACTGCAATAGCTTCTTACTTGTGATTCCAAAAGACAGACAGCATGTTCTTTTTCTTTTACTGAATTCACAGTCTCTTGTATTTCTCTCTGAATTTTTAGCAGATCTGCTTCTTTGTGTGAAATATCCTGGGTAGAGTGTTCAACCATTTTCTTCAGTTTTGTAACCTCCTCCATTAATAGCAGCTTTTCTTTAGCACTTGCATCTGCAGGAAATCATCAGGATCGCTCCACACATTTAAAATACGCATGGTCTTCCTGTAAACATCTATTTCCTTTCTTATGTGACTGTTTAGCTGAGTTATGACACTAAGCCTCCAGATGTTTCTGAGGCTGGAATTCTAAACGTAGTTATTAGGAAAGATAACCTACTGAAACAAAGCAGGGCTCACGTCCAAATGAAACATGCTTATAATGTGCAAAGAATGAGAACAAACAATATTTGAGGTGCTGTAGCACCTAATGTGCAGCTTTTTGAAAATCACTAAGTTATTCATATTTTGAAATACATAGACAATATATACAGAGTTTTGTGTTTGTATTTTAGCATCCCTCAGTCCAAGAAGATAGGTAGGCAGATTTGCAGTCAAAATCTTGGGGCTCTTTTTCCTTTTGCACATCTCCCAAAGAAGCTTGGGTTACTACTTCTGACAGTAATGCAGATGGTGATGCTGGCTCTAGCAATTTGAGTCTCAGTGCCATCCATTATTGTGATTTCAGTGGGGAGGGAAATATCAAACTATGCCAGAGACACTCATCAGAGTTTTATTATAAAAGAGGTTGAGGGCAGTGGTAAATTTAGGGATGAATTGAGGGTCCTACAGCAGCAAGAGCTTTTCTTATGGAACTCTCTCCTCTCATGGAAGAAGTATAGTGGATGTTGTTTAAAAAGTTTTAGGAAACAAACATTGGTGCCTTAATCCAGCTAGCTATCTATAAGGAAAGTTGTATTAGAATGTGAGTAGACTCATATATCATGTTGAGCAATGATAATCTTGGCTTGCAAACTGAGCCCAATTGGCTGGGCTTACAGTATATAGCTATTATAGTTTATAAACCATGACGTACGGTTCACAGATCAGAGACTGTAATGCAACATGGATAGATAGCATCTGCCTCTAAAAGGGTATTCCAATGGACATCTAGCAAATATCCATATTTCCTGATCTAACAAATATTGGGAAAGCCTGCTCCTCCATGAGGATTTCCTACACTGCTTAGAGTAAGATTCTTCTTTCTTCTTTTCTTGGTGGCTTCCAAACATGTTCATCTAAAAAATGACAGCTTTGCTTGGTATTACAAAGCTTTGATTATAACACAAAGCTCCTGTGTCATGTAAAACAAAAATGAATTAAGCTCATGAAGTATTTGCAATATAGGATATGGCTACATAAAGCAAAGAAACAGAAACAGAAGCAGAAAACTTCTAATATATTAGCCTTCTCATAAGAGAAAAATGTCATACACAAAATTCAACAGAACTCCAATTCATATTCATAAATTTAGCTTAATTGCAAGAATGACACCCCATGAGAGGAAGAGTTATTTATTACCAGACAGTATTTGAAGACGCTTGTGTATTGCTTGAGTTTCAGCTTCATAGAGCTTGGTGCTGTTTTCTTTCTTTGCTATATCTATTTCTGTTGTGTTTATGATAGCCTCCAATTCCTTTGAAAATATACAGTAGATTAATTTCATGCAAATGGATTTATTTGAGATAAAAGACTAAGATTAAAGCTGACTAGTAAATCAATAAAAAATACAAGTGAGATCCTCCCTAAACTACTGCCATCAAACTACAGCTATCATCATGATTTAGGACTTCATTTCCCATCATTCACAATCAGCATGGCTAACAATTGAAGTCTAACAGCCCAAGATGGCATCTCATTGGGGAGAGCTAGGCTAGGTCACAATTGCTGGTGATGCACACTGATTCTTCACAATGTCAAGAAACTCACATTCAGCTTACATTCTGTACCCTTTTGTATTTGTGTTTCTTAACCCAGCAGTCTCCTAAACAAGTGCTATCCTTTCTGCATTAGGACAAATATGTTATCTATAAAACAAATTATAAGAAGTTGAGTGTTAGAGTGTTTAAGTTTGGAAGAAGAAACATCAATAATCTGCACTATGTTGATGATACTACTCTGATAGCTGAAAATGCAAGCGATCTGCAAACTCTAGTAATAAAAGCCAAGGAGCACGGTGAACAAAATGGGACTAAGATTAAATATAAAGAAGGCCAAACTAATGGCAAGGTACAGCAACCAGCCTTAGAACTGACAGGGAAGATATTGAAACGATGGATAGCTTCTGCCTTTTAGGTTCAACTATCAAAGTAAAGGAACCAGCAGTCAATAAATATGCCACAGACTAGCGTATGGTAGCTGACTAGCTACAGTAGAGTAGCAATTAAGGTTTTGGAAGAATATTCAGATGCTGGAATATGTCTATACCTGCTAAGAATCACACAGGCAATGGTTTTCCCTGTGACACTACAGAAGCAAAAGTTGGACTTTGAAGTAACAAGATAGAATGAGTATTGATGTTTTTGAATGTTGGTGTTGGAGAATACTACTAAGAATACCACAGGTAGCCAAGGAAACAAACAAATGGATTATCAAATAAATGAACCCAGAGTTTTTATTTGAGACACAAATGACCAGGCTCAAATTATCATACTTTGGACACATTATGTGAAGACCTAGCTTTGTAGAGAAATCTATAATGCATAGAAAGGTGGAATGAAAGAGAAGAAGGGGAAAGCCAGCAGCAAGATATATGGACACAGTTATTGCAGTGATGAGTGCACCATTGGAAGACTTGAAAGACCAGGTTGGGTACAGACATCATGGAGAAAATTTATGTGGTTGCTAAGAATTGACGCTGAATTGATGGCATATAATCAATTAATAAGATGTATATACAAAAAAAAATTCATGTTTTTATATTATGTCTTATACTATGACAGTTTTTAAGCTTTTAGCATAATTCAGAGCTGAAATGTCCAAAATATTCAAGAGATTAGAAGACAGCAAGAAGACTCCAAGGAAACTGCATGTTTGGTCAAGTTGATAAGAGGGTTTCAGAGGAAAATAGGCCATGGGTAGGTAGTCAGGTTTATTTTAAATGACAGGGCATTTTGTTCATGTCTATCACCACAACAAAATATAATTACTCTAGGAATAGATATTTACTGTATACTTGGAAAAGATATAACTGATTCAGAAAGAAAAGTTTACTAGGTAAATTCAGTGATTTAACCAGCCAAAAGACATTTGAGGAACTACTGGGAACAGATGAACGATTTCACTGCTAGAGCAGCATTAGCTTTCTGCTTCTTCCACAGAGAGCTCTGTGGCCACAGATACCAGTTGTGTTCCCTTATCAGTAGAGGGCCTTCTGGGGTCATGTAGAATGTTAAAATATAAATCCCCCTCATTTCCCTAATTGTATCGGGAAAAAAAATGCACATTGAAGAAATAAAATTATGAAAGCTTTCTCTAGTTCTCAAGTCTGAACCCTGCCTATATGACTGTTTGATCTTAGGAAGGATTTAGCGTAATGGTGAGAATGTTGCATTAAGGCTGGGAAGACCCACATCCAAATCCCCAGGCAGTTATAAAGCTCAGAGTTATTTTAGATAATCACTCTAGCCCTGTTTACATATATACTGAGTTTGACTGAACCATGGTTTATTGAATGAACCTTATTACCTCGGTTTGCACAATACACAGAATTAACCAAAGTGGCTGCATATCAAGCCATAAACCAGTGAAGAAAAGGCAGAATACAAATGCAACACATGAAGAAATAAATACATACTCTAAGCAATTACAAAGATGGGTTCTTTCTAAAAAAACAGGTAGTTATGTGATGATATATTATAACTATTCAATGTTTATAATTTAAATAAAATGAAAAGACTATGCTATAAAGACACAGTGCATTCACACTTCTGTACATGCAAATATATCCTTGACGATTTTCCTTTATTAAAACTGACACATTTTTTAAAAAAAGATATCTTGACTATGCCTATAGAAATGCCATCTTAAAAGCAACATGACAGTGCTGTAGAAAGAGCATCTGATATGGCTACAGAAGCCTGTGGTGATCTTTGACCTTGAAGCCACATTAAACAATGCAAGAGAACCAAATAAACCCTTAACAGAAGTTACCTTCATTGTTTGCAATAACTTTTCAGCTTTTCTGTTAACTTTAGGTGGAATGTGTGTAGCATTCTTTGCCTTCTCTCTAGTTCATGATGCATGACTAAGGAACAATTTTTATGATGTTTGAAATATCAGTTCCTAGTTTCAGAAATGCAGTGTGTTAACATCAGAAATATGTTAATAATCTTGAGTCGTCTTATAAATTTCCTCCTATCTTCACTCTCAAAAAATTCAGCTTCAAAAATGCTAAATTTCTATTGGCCACATGATTTTGGCACCCCTTTTGGAGCTCAAAATATACATGGTTTACATTTTGAGGTGGGAATTAATATATGTTTTCTTCAATTGTCCTAGAAATAATGTGTTATTTTTCAGGGGTTTTTTTAACAGTATAAAGGAAAAGTATCCATATGTAATATAAAGGAGGGAATAAAGATATTATTAGGCCTCCAAGCTTGCATTGTTCTCTTGGGTTACTGAAAACAGTTCTGACATATAGACCAGCAACAGTATCAGGCCTTTGAATATGACATACATAAAGGGAATGAAATGCTTTGGTTTGAAATGAAAAGTTGGTTCTGGTTCTTTGTCACCATTCCCCACTACAGGAAAGACCTATTTGATTGATGCATCACAGGTGCTCAGTGGACTCTGTTTGGATCCAGAGGAAACTTGGGGCTGTTCCTGAGTCTCTAAAAAACTATATGAGTGAGGCCTTAGTCACTGCCTCAAATAAGGGGGTGACAGCAGCCTTCAATCAGATTGCACATGGGTGAACTCTCTGCTCATTAAACTTCTCTAGTTTTCAGAGGGGCTTCAGAAGATGAAGCAGCAGTAGAGGTGCCTAGAGCACCATTGGAGGAAAACAGAGTGAATCCAATCAAGCACAGGTAAGAACCTTTCTTAAGGGTTATCATCACAAGACGATAAGAGAGGCAAAATGTTATTACTTCAGCACTCTTATCACATCTAGATAGCCAGCCAGCAAGCCTATTCAAGGTGACCTGATCTCTCCTAGGTAGGGATGGGCCTAAAGAATATCTGCAGGGCTTCTGTGAAGACTGCTTGAGGCATTTGTTGGATAAAGTCACTTGGATCCTTTTTGACCAGCTGTGCAGGTCCTTTGGAGATGACTGAGATATGGTCTAGCATGGTTATCTGGGAAGAGTTTGAGCCTGTTGGTCCTGAGGAAGTGAGCAGGGTCATTAGTGCTGTTAGTATGACCACCTGTGTATTCGTTCCATGTCCCTCCTGGCTGCTTAAGGTCCTCTGGGAGACTATGAGTGTTGGATCCAGGCAGCAGTGAATGCATCTTTGAGGAAGAGGCTGGTTTCATTAGCTCTTCAAAAAGCAGTGGTCCACTCCCTCCATCTCTGTCTCTGGATCCAATGATTCTAGACAATTTTCATTCTGTCTCCAACCCTCTCTTTTCAGGGAAGTTCGTTGAGAAAGCCTGCAGCTCCAGAGAGCCCTGAAGGAAACAGATTATCTGGCCTCTTTTTAGCTGGGTTGGTGTAGAGAGTAAGAAAGATTATTTTGATGGAGATATGCAAAAAATGTTACCTAGGCAAAAGGGGCTAAAACATTTTTTAAGTCCAGAACATCCAGATAACACTTGGAAGTGTTTTGGACAGAGCCTTCCCTAATTCACTGAACTGGAGGAGGAGGAGGACAATCAGACTTGCAAGATGTTGTTATTTATAGCTAATTTCAATAAAAATAGTTTTAACTTTCCTGTGGAGTTGATTTCATGGTCTGGTCTACCTAGTTGGACCACGTTTTCAGTCTAGGATATAGCACTAAGACAGCGTAGTTCACACTGTTGACCTGAACCTGATGCTTCAGATGTGTTGAACTGAATGACCTGTAGTAGAACTAGGATGGGGTGGGTGCATCCATCTTGGCTCTTAATCTCTCAGCAGCTTTCAGTACCATCAATTATTATACCCTCTGGATCAGCTTTGAAGGTTAGGAGTGCAAAGTGTTACAGTGGCTCTCCTCCTTTCTCCAATACTGGTTCCAGATGGTGCTGATGGGGAGAAGTGATCAAGCCATACACCCCAGGTTTGCAGGATTTTTCAAGTTTCTTCTCTCTCTGCTCCTATTTAATATACAGTGGTACCTCGGTTCACGAACTTAATTTGTTCCGTGACTCTGGTCGCGACCCGAATTGGTCACGACCCGAATCAAATTTCCCCGTATTTCAATGTAAATACGGTTAATCCGTTCTGACCCCTCCAAATTTGGTCGCCAACCGATTTTG